ATAATAATCTCTGCCAGTCAAAGGTCAAAGTGCAGCAAATTCTACCGTGAGGCAAATGGGTTTTATGACAATAAATAGGAAAATAACTGATTTTATGAACTGATATTTGTTGTTAGGTGGTAATTGATGGATTAAAAGCAGTTTTTCCATGTTTGCGTCTCTCAGCAGGTTCTGACAGGTTCTAAAACAACAGCAGCAGGAGGAGAAGATAAAACCCACAAAGGAAACTGTGTTTGACTTGTGAAGAAGAAAGACTGTGAAGACCTCAGTGAGCACCTTTCACCTCATTTCTGTTTTCACACCATTTTCACCACAGTTGCTCACTAACTGGCTGTCACAACGGCATGTGGCAAAGTCASTTTTACAGATAATTGGACTGAAAATAAAAATTTATCAAGGCTACTGATACAAATTTTAGCTTTACGCATGTGAATGCTTCTATTCTTTGAGGGAAAGCATATTGTTGTCAAGTTTTAAACTTAGAACATCTTAAAATGACAAAATCAATTTCCATCAAACCTGCGAAATAAAGCTATGAGCAATTTCATGAAATATCAAAAGGGTTGTGTTTGACTGTCAGCTGCTACCACACCTCAGGATCTGTAACATTAGTTATTTGTTTCTAAAGTTCAGCTGGCTGTGGCAGCCATCAAGACTTTGGTTGACTCCAAAAGTTAATCGTACACATGTGCATTCGGTGATTCGTTCCTTAAACTTTCATTAAAATAATTCAGACTCATGAGATATTTTGCTAACAGACAAAMAAAACGCACTCTGAATGGTCAATAGCAAAATTTTTMAAATATCTTGCAAATCCTAGAGCTCAATATAAGTGTAAGGGATTAKTCTCAGCTTCGATTGCATCGAAGTTTAGGTCAGTATTTGTTCAAATGACAAAAAATAGTAATTTTGTATTTTTAAGTTGTGTTGTTTTGGCAGCTATTTGGATTGTTGTTGGCTYCAAAAGTTCATCAGACATAGACGTGCCTCCTGTGATCACTTTCTATAAATTTCATCAAAACGTGTCCAATTATTTATGATGCAAAAGCATTATAGAGGATCTGGTGTTGCCTCACAACATGAGAAGATCTTGGCTGAGCTGTTTAGTGTAGAGTCTGCATGTTTTTTACTCCCTGTAATATTTTAATTGACAGTAGCAGTAAACGAACATGGCTGTCTGTCGTTTTATCTGTGGAAGTAAGACAGTCACATGGGAAATATTCAAAACACTGCAATATGTCTGAGGAGCAACGTGTCTAATAAATGTGCATACATTTACATGTGTTGCCATCATTACTGCATGTGGGTGTGCATGAGTACGTGTGTGTKTCACAGTGATGCATGCTCGGCAGTTGTCACTTCTGTAATGACATAATTGGTGTGTGGAGTGGCAGGTGTTTACTTTACCCTGGTCATTAAAAATAAATACATTCAGTGCACATAAGATCTTTAAATCCATCCATTATCTTTATCTTTTACCTGTTTCTTTCTATTAGGGTGAGGGTGGGAGGTGGTCACTGGTGCTGAAGGCAGGGTACACCCTGGAYAGGTCGCATGGCCATCCCAGATTTTAAAATATATATTAAAATATGCAGGAAATATAGATTAAAGAATTAAAGCGACCTAGCATTTCTTGAAGGAATTCACATSACCTGACGTCTTTCATGCCAGAGTTTTAGACCAAGATCTTCTTATGTTTGAGAAACARGTATGTTGTGAATGACTCTCAGATCAGATTAAAAAAAACATTTAAAAAAATCGTAAATTTAACAGTTATAAAAACTTTTCAGGTTTGTTATTGCCAATTTCCTGATGGGGCCATCTGGAAATTTGTCTCTCTCTCTCAAGTTCAAGTTCAAGTGCCACCCTTACCTAACCACCCTTTTCAACATTTTTAATCAATGATGTATTTTATATCTGTGTGTTTTCTGTACTGATGACACCAGGTGTGTCCAAATTCAGGGGCTGTGTCCTTCGAAGGTCCCAGCCTACGTGAGCCAGGGCCTTTGTCAACTTCGAAGATCAGAAGAAAGTGGTTGTGAATTTGGACGGTCTAGCCTTCAACTTTATTCCCGCCCTTACCCCGGAGTACGTCCTGTCGCCTTGCAACCGTGACGGTGCAAAACAGAAGCAATAAGGATCAAAAATATATTGAAATTAGCTAAATATTATTATTGTTATTAACATTATAAAATCAACATTAGCTTAGAGGCAATACTTGATGAACCAAGGGTCCCACCAAATGGGCTTGTTCAAGATGATCTCTGACAACATTTAAAAAATATGTGCAAATGACAAAAAGCTTAAGAAATACTCAAACTTTCAGTTTTTGTACCACCAGATTTTTATTTAAAACTTTACTCCTGCCTCGCAGCTTCTTCCGCTATTAAGACAAAAATTCTATTAATTAAATCTATTTATTAATTAAAATTTATGAATGTAGGCATGTATATATGTATATC